AGCCTGCAAGAAGTTCTGTTTTCGTTTCTATTTTGGGAGCTCCTTAATTGGTGCCAGATGAGTTGAGTTGACAAAGAGCGAGAGGCAGGGCTGGATTAGTGAGTGTGCTGAGCGTGCGAGCGGGAAGGGGGGATGCGTGTGCGAGACACCCTCGGCCCGGCTGGATTCTGCAGCTGTTCTTGCTTCGAACAATAGGACGTATTTTAGGCAAGAATTTCCCCCCCTTTCACGCCTCTTGGAAGTTTGGGGTTTCTTCTCTTGCTAGCCAAACATCCTTGGAAAAACAAACACGGTTAGTTCAAACCACGTGAAGTTCTGCTTTTCCCACGCTCTGATTCCCCACCCCCTCACCCCCTATCTGAAGGAAGACCCTGGGGGTTCCTCCTTAAATCAATGTATTGGCCTGCAAGTTTCATATGCAAGGGTTTTTATCCCCCAGCTATATTTAATGTGATGTGATGTGATGTGATATGATATGATATGATATAATAATAGAATAGAATAGAATAGAATGCAATGCAATGCAATACAATACAATACAATACAATGCAGAGTAATATAGTATAGTAGTATAGCATAGGATAGCATAGCATGGTATAATATAGTATAATAATGGGATACGGTGGCTCAGTGGCTAAGATGCTGAGCTTGTTGATCGAACAGTTCGGTGGTTCGAATCCCTAGCGCCGCATAGCGGAGTGAGCTCCCGTGACTTGTCCCAGCTTCTGCCAACCTAGCAGTTCGAAAGCACGTAATGAAATGCAAGTAGAAAAATAGGAACCCCCTTTGGTGGGAAGGTAACAGCGTCCCGTGCGCCTTCAGCGTTGAGTCATGCCAGCCACATGACCACGGAGACGTCTTCGGACAGCGCTGGCTCTTCGGCTTTGAAACGGAGATGAGCACCGCCCCCTGGAGTCAGGAACGACTAGCACATAGGTGCCTTTACCTAGTATAATAATATAATGCATAAACAACACAGTACAAGATAACATAACACAACACAATTCAATTCAGTACAGCGCAATGCAATACAACACAATATAATAAAATACAATACAGTACATTACCGTACAATTTAATGCAACACAATATAAGTCTAGGCTAGGACACTGCAACACAATAGAACACAACAGTACAACACAACACAGTACAGTACAACACAGTACACTACAACACAACACAATACAACGCAGTGCAACACACCGTAATATAGTACAGTACAATTACAATACATTGCAATACAATACAATACAATATATAGACACAGAATATAATAATGATTTAAAAAATGACCTGCAAGTTGATTGACATCCAGCCACACAGACCTGCGTCATTCCCACGGTCACATGATCAAAATTTGGGTGCTTGGCAACTGGCAAGGGATTTATGCTAATCGCAGCGACCTGGGTTCATGTGTGATCTTCATTTATCACCTTCCCAGCAAGATTCACTTAACAACTGATTTCCTTAACAACCCGTGGTAGAAAAGGGTCACAGAATCAGTCCCAACTCACTTAACCACCAACTCGCCTAGTGATGGAAATTCTGCTCTCCATTGTGGTCGCAAGTTCGAGGATTCCTTGTAAAAGAAAAAAGGTTTCCTTGAAATCTTCCGGGTGCGGGAAGATGCTCCCCAGTGTTCTGATTGGACCGTCAGGGAAGGACTGAGGCTTCCGATTGGTCGCTGGCCTTCTCTGTGTTTTTTCATTCTAGCTGGAGTGAAGTTAGAGAAAGTTTTCGCCCAAGGAAAGGTTTTTTTTTCCGGAGCAAATCTGGCCGAGGAGTGGGCCCAGTCACGCCTGCTTTGGTCTGGAATTAATTAGCATGAGCTAACGAGATGCTGGGAATGAAGTCAGAATTAATTAGGAGGAAATAAAGACACTGCACAAGAATGCGACAGAAGTGGTTTCAAGGGGAAGGGAGGGCTGTGGGGGTTTTGTGTGTGTGTGTTTTTTTTTAAAAATGCACTCCTACAACTGGTCCTAATTCAAACAAAAGGGAGCTTTAGGGGTCTGTGTCACTTTCTGCAGCCAAACAAGCTCATTTGGGTGAGGGTCTCATGCTTGAGCAGGGGGTTGGACTAGATGACCTCCAAGGTACCTTCCCAACCCTATGATTCTAAGTTAGAGATCCTTGGGTGGACAGAATAGATCATAAGCAGTGTTGTCCAACCTTGGCTCAACGAAGAAGCGTGGACTGCAATTCCCAGAATCCTCAGCTGTGGCTATGCTGGCTGTGGAATTCTGGGAGTTGAAGTCTGCAGACCCAAATATTGCCAAAGTTGAAAAATGCTGGATTATGGAGGAGGAGGAGCAGCAGGAAGAAGGAGGAGGAGGGGGGAGGGGGAGAGGAAGAGGAAGAGGAGGAAGAAGAGAGAAGGACCAGGAGGAGGAGGAGGAGGAGGAGGGGAAGAGGAGGAAGAAGAGAGAAGGACCAGGAGGAGGAGGAGGAGAGGAAGAGGAAGAGGAGGAAGAAGAGAGAAGGACCAGGAGGAGGCGGAGGAGGAGGAGAGGAAGAGGAGGAAGAAGAGTG